CTTATTTATAGCTTGTTCTGGGAATTTTCTGTCTTGTCTTTCGATACCTTTTGAAAAGAATGTCAGCCCATTTTGTATTTGCCGTTTGAAACTCTTCACAAAAGTCCTTTGTTTTCTAAGAACATCGAAGTCTAGTTCAGCAACAACCTTTTTTTGTAGGTCTTTTCTACACTCAATCTTTTTCTTTCTTTCGTTTTTTAATATGATTTCCTTCAGAATTATGCTCAGCTTCTATGATGGTCATAAGTTTTTCCTTGTATTTTCTTATCAGGCATTCTTGCTTTATTTGTCTATTTTGCTTTTTTATTTGACTTCCCCTTCTGTTCTTTTATCCACTCATTGCTTTTCAAGTGTACACCTCTACCGTAGTAAACGTATCCATACCCTTTCGGAGCTTTTTGCATATAAAAGACTTTTCTGGTTTTTCCTGCTATCTATTTATTACTGCTGTTCGTTGTACTTACTCTTTTTAAAAAGGGGCTTGCTTTTCTTTATTGCAAGAAAAGGGCAATGTCCTACTGTACAGTCAGACTAGTTTTCTTCATCGTTAGCTAATCAGACAGATTCTCTTACTTAGAGAGATGTAAATAGAAATTCTTCTATCAATTTTTCTCTCCCTTATTTTCTTCCGAACTTTAGAAGTGCTTTGGTTGGTCTGTCTCTATCAAAGAATTAAGCGCTGGAGACTTGGCTAGCAGAAGATCATAGATCATACTTCTTTCTCGATTGCTTTTCCCAAAGGATAGAGGTTTTTAAAGTAATAGCACAGATTTGGTCATTACTGTGAAGACGGAAAGAGTACAGCTCAGTTGAACGTCATACCTAACTTCTTTCTACGGTGTTGGCCCCTTGAAGGAGGCGGGAAGCTACCGCTTCTAGAATGCAAGCAACTCCTTTCCTTTACAGCGTACCCCGTGAAATAAGAACAAAAGGTTGATGGATGAAGTAATGGGAGTGAGAAATGATTACGGTTGCAGAAACCGGAGAAAGTAGGGAACCATCGGTGACATTTTGAATCAAAGTAGGGACGAGCCGAGTACTACGACTACAGGGGGGGAAGCTTTGCTTCTACAACAGCTTTCTTCCTCCTCGCTTCTTTTCTTTCTAGCGACTAGCTTATCAAGTGGGTGGCTCTTGGTAAGCAAGCTACCTTCAGCATCGGTCAAATCCCTATCAATAATAGGCCGAAATGAATGGTGAGGAAGGATGCCCTAACGAGACTCTGAGTCAAGCCTTAGCCTATCTCTATAGTCAGGGGCCTTTTCTTCAAGAATAAGGAGTCTCCCTTCTTCTCGCCTATTTACCTTGTCTTTGAGTGAAAGAAGGTGAGTTCAGTATCAGTAGTTCAGCAGTTCAGCCGAGTTCAAGCAAGAAAGGAGAAAGAGCAGTTCACAATGGGGAGGGAATATCGTCAAAGGTTTAGGAGTGAAAGAAGGTTTGTTCTGGTTAAGGGTCGAAGACATGAAACTGAGTTGGAGAGGGTCAAAAACGCTCGACGAGAAAAGGGAGGAGAGGGTTTCGGGTCTCATTCATCTCTTTTCTTCCTGCCCGATTAGTCTTTTCTTTGAGAAAGGTAAACGCTAACTCTCGAATTAAGCTTTCTTTCCTTTTATTCTAGAATAGTAAAGGAAAAGGAGGTTTAGGTTCAGGATAGGTTTGGGTTACGGAGCGAAGCAACTCGACGAGAAGAGGAGTTCAGTCGAATGAATTGATAGTGTTTACAGTTCGTTCATAAATAGGATCAGTGTTTGAATAGTTCAACCCTACCGTTGATAGTGTTTACGATAGAGAGAGAGTAAGTTGGAGGTCGAAGATCAGAGTCTGGTTTTCATAAGATATGAAAAAGAGAGTCTTTGTCCTGCTATTCCCGGCAATAGCTCTTTCGAGGGGTTAAAAGAGAGAGAGGATCGGTGCCTGCTCTTTCCCAATCCAAGAGAATAGGCCTCTTACGGGTCGGAAGGCTTCCTTTAGTGAGTGCGCCTGTTCAACTGAAACTCTAGAAGATGCCGAATTAGAAGAAGCTAGAGAAAGATCAGTCTCAACTAAAGCCGAATCCAAAGACGCATTGGGAACTTTAAATTACTTCATGTGGAGCTTCAATTACTATATGCTAGTTACAATCTTTAGGATTGACTAATTGGACACGAATTCATGGATTTAGGAAAATTTTTGTGTAATTATCAACTACAACTTATGTTTTCAAATTTTTAGGACATAATTTAGGTAGTTGTTTTTATGAGTCGTAAACTTGTTTCTTTGCATAATAAGGATTTAGTTGAACTATTATTATCGATAAGATGGAGAAAGAAATTGTCTTTGAATTGACTAATAGACCTAGGTTCATCGTTGTTGTCTTTTAACTTGTGATTTTGCAAAAAGCTAAACTAACATGAGTTGTCATGTCACAAGAACTTTAAGGTAAATCAAGAATATACCCTACACATCATTCAAGATGGCAATAAAATGGAGTTAAATTGAACGCACTTTAGTTTCATGTTTGGCATGTTCAAGATAAAACATAATTGTATTAATGATATTGAGCCTGGAGTCTATAAGAATTTAATGATCTTAAGAGAATTTCCTGTTTTATTAGAGGATACCAACTTTATATATGGTACTAGGAGTTCAAGAATCTGGATTTGAATCTGGTCAAGGAACAGTACGATTTGAAAGTTTTGAATTCTAGACTAAATTTGTACCTAATTATTTCTTTTTATGACTAATTATAAATTAAGAGAAAAATATTTTTGTAAAGATAGATTTATCTCTAAAGTTTTCGTGACGAAACCATGTTTAGACTAGCAGTTTAAAGTCAGGAGATGCGGTCACAGGTGTGATTATTTGGATGGGTTCGTAATAGAACGTACCATTGAGATGAGGGTGCCTTCAAAGGTTGTGCACTCACGGATGGGGTTGTTATGTAGCGTTAGTCTGTCTTTGTGTTTGAGTTTTTTTGTACTTTTTTTTTTAATAATTGTATCCGAAATACTTTTTTTTTTGTTTGGATAAATTTGAACAACACCGTCTTATAATTTAATTTTATTTTATATTTAATGTTGTATTGTTTTCTCAATCTCATTTTATTTTACAACATTTTCTTATTTTATATTAATTTACTTTTATTTTTATTTGTTTTCACTCTCAATTTTAGTTCCTATTTGAGTTTTGAACCCTTGAAATTTGGGTTGTGACGGATTGGTATCAGAGCAGATAGATTTAAATTATATTGATTTTTTCTTAGGATAAAGAGTCATATATCCCTATGACTCAGCTCGATGACACGTCTCTCCGCGACCAAGTAAGCAGTCTAACCCTATTTTGTAGTATATGATATATTGTAAAACTTGTATGAATTTATTGTATGTTTTGATTTTCGTGGTAGTTATAAAATGTCCTTGGATGTTAAAGAATGAACGTTAACTATATAAGACAATACTTGATCAACGTTATAGTGTCTAGATATGGTGAGGAGGAAAAGAGTGGTCATGAGATATCTGACTAGCCTTAGGAAAACAGAGAGTTGTCGTTGCACAGTGCGAGACCTCTAATCCATGAAATTTTGGTACTAGAAATGAAGAAACTGGAGATGGTCCCTAAACGTCTGTATGGACCATTTCCAATCGCACTTTCTTTGGTTCCCTGGCAGCGTCAACCAGATTAACCCTACGACGTGACAATCCTTGAGCTTCCACTCCTCCGTGGTCATGGTATCCAGCTTCACCCCAAAAATGGGTTCCTGAATATCTTTCTCGTATAGATAATCTTCAATTTGCATCTTCTAGAAACTGATATCGAATCTATCAAACTTTTCAATTCCAGTCTTTGAACTTTCCATCTTCACAGATCGTGGTGAATCTCTCCTCGCTCTGATACCAATTATTAGAATCACACAACAACGCACACACTTGATCTAAATGAACACAAAGAACATGATAGAGAAAATGTAAGAAGAAATATTGACTAATGGTTTTGTATTAATGACTTCAGATATGCAAAGAGAGGATATGGAGAATGAGAAATGTACATTTAGGTGTTGGGTTTTATGTCCTAAAACTCATAGTTTGTAAACAAAAACATATTCTATTTTCAATAAAGTTATTATTGTTGTTTATTCAGTAAAGATTATTATTGAATAAAGTGAACTTTACGATCATTAGTCTAAATCCAATAAACGAAGAACACTCTAGCTATAGTATGATTACTTAAACTATATGTAGAGACATAAGAGTGGATCAAGTTCAAGTATATAGTCAAAATGATCTATAGTATAAGGATAAGGCTGAGTACCTTATTCTGGGGACACTATGGATGCAGCCCACTTTAGTATATGATATAAACAATGTGATCACTAAATTGTACATGTGGAGACATGTGAGTGGGAGCGTCCTATGCAATGAGTATTGCATAAGATCGGACCATGAAGAAAATCACTCTCCCTTTAGAATGTCGTTTACTGTTGAGACTGATTTTCTCACTGTAAGAAAAGCACCTATTTTTAAAATAATGCTATGAAAAAGAAGGAAAAAATGAATATTTTTTCCCTCTCTCTTCCCTCCCTTTTTTTTCTTTTTCGGTTTCGCTCTCATTCCTTTTTTTTTGGTTTCTCTCTCATTTCTTCCCTTCTTTCTCCTAGCCCTAGATCCATCTCTTCTCTCTCATTTCTCTCTTTTCGGTTTCCATCTCTTCAAGCTCATTTATTTGGTTCTTTCTCTTAGCCTTAGATCTATCTCTTCTGGGCTTTTTCCTTTCTTTCCATTGACAGTTTCAAACTCACCCATTTCTCTCATTAGGCTGCTGGAAGTGGTCGACAACAACCACAACAATGGCGGTAGAGGCGGCGGCGAGGATCATGATCGGAACGCAGATGATTGGGATTTGACGGCCCTACTATCGCAATCGTACAACTAGAATGAACTGGATGAGATGCAGAGGAGCTGGCTTCTCGGTCTGGTGGAGGGAAAGAAAAACAGATATGTTGACCTAGGTTCTGTAATCATGTCAAAGAGGGCTTTGAAATAGGAATACCGGTGGAATCAAGATGTGCCCATCCTATTTTTTTTCGAACGACGCATGGTACGGCTCCCCCTATAAAAGATTTTGTATTTTAATCAACTTTTTTTTTCTTCTGTTGTTCAGTTTAGAAGCTTAGTGCTTGAAATGGCCTGAGCAGGGCTTTTGATTTTGATGCATCACTCTTGAATTTGATTCTTTAGTTAGGTAAAATAGAGTTAAAGGGCCATTTAAATACAGGAGAACCATTGTTGTAGAATAACTTTCACTTCAGTGTTAGGAGGACATGTGTGGTTGCGGTAAGAAAGGAAGGGGTGAAGGGGAAATCATAACCATTAGCTCATTATGTTATTGGGTATTTGGATGAGAAGCATAGATATAGACACGAGACAAATTAATATAACAAAGATAGAACACTATATTTTTAATGTCTAGAACACATTATAAATTACCATAATTAAGCGATTAAGTAACTGAGAGTTGCTTCGAGCAGTGGAGAGGGGTGAAAGAGAAATGATTGAGAGTGAAAAATTGATAAGATATGAATGATTAAAGGGGCAAGCATAATAATATTGGAGACTAGTGGAGATTTTGATATAATTTAGTTTGAAAGGAAAGAATGTTGTGTGGGATATTAAGTAAGATTGTTGGGACTTGAGCAACGAAGAATAATAATAGAGACTCTGTAGGTTTTGTTTGGTGTAATTTGAAGTAAGGTGTGAATTTTAAATGTGCTTCAGAGGGAGGAAATTTGGACTTTTGGTAGTGTGACAATGTCTTGTCTCTATGTCAAATTAGAGATTTAGAAAATGTGACCAATTTTTCAATAACAAAGTTGCAAAGTTGCACAACAAGCTGCTTTCCATTACCTTCACAAGGATTCAAACCTGCTTTCCATTACCTTCACAAGGATTCAAACCTGCTTGATACCCACATTTTGCTTATGCAAAGAATTCTAAACTCTTCACAATATGGTAACAAATTTTTCTCTGCTTATTTATCATTTTTTTTCAATATTTACTATTTTGGTTTTAGTTGATGATGTGAGAATGAGTACATGTGAAAAAAATGTTAATGTTGTCTTCTTCCTTTTTTTTTTTTTTTTGCGGGACATTTTATCTTTTTAATTATTTATTATCTCTTACACATGAGTGATTCTACTTCAAATTCTTCATTGTCTTAATTCACTTTGAAAAATATTTATCTAATGACAAAATTTTAATTAAAAGACTCCTATCCATTAGAAAGAAGACTTTTAATCCTTTGTTTCCCTCTTGATTTAAGCTTTGCAATGTACAATTTGTTAAAGTAGGTCGCACTGTCACAATTAGTGTTGTCATCTTATATTTGTTTTGGTTTTAATGTTAATGATTTGTTCTTATATGGTGCATATAAGGTTAGTTGTTGTGGAAATAGGTTGTTATGGAATGGGAGTGAGGTCAAGGAATAATTGAAAGTGTGTCTCTATCTTCTCTTTCTTGCATTTCTTTGATATTGAGTAATTGTAAACTAAGTTCATTCATAGAATAGGTGGAAAATGACATATTTTAGAGATTGTTACAAAAAATTTCTAATATCTCACTACTAGTCTACACTATATAAGTCTCTATCTCTTTTTTCCTTTTCTTATCATTGCATGTCTTTGTCGTCACAAAAAATAATACATTTGTAACTTTTAAATATAACATTTTGAACTAAAAGCTATGAAAAATTGAACACCATGAGCTATATTTTTTGTTGTACAATTTTTTAACTCCGCAATTTTTATTTCTCTCTCCTTCCATCTTTTGGTTTTTGTCCATTTCATTTCACAACTTCTTTCCCTCCTCGCGCATCAAAATTCTTCTTTCATTTTGTCAACCTACTTCTATATTACTAATTATCCTCTTTCAGAAAGTTAGAGAGATGAAGATGAGCAGAGCAATAGTGATGAAGGAAGAGGCTTTCGAGATGTCGTACCACTAGCCTCCAAAGATTTAGGTAAGTTCAATTGGAATTGGTTGCTATATTTTAGATTCTTGATGTTCAACTATGGATTTACAGTCACTTCCTCTAATACTCTTCTCTATTTATGATTGTTTTGAATTTTAAAGTTCTTTTGGCCAAAGAAGATGTAGAAGTGTAGAGATATTCTGATTCTAAGTTTGATCTTCATTTGAATGATGTGAATTTTGTTATTATGATTTGATATGACTAAAGTGAGATTTGAGAATCTCTTTCTAGTTTGGAAGAATTTTGATTTTTGAATTTGAACTTTTACAGCAAATTTCTCTCTATTTAATGTTATACATACATTTCAATGTGAAATTTGGAGAACTCTCAAGTTTAGATTTCACTTTTTTTTTTCTTTATAATCATTTTTTGGTAGGATTCTAAGGCTAAATTGAGTTAAATTTTCCATTTTCTCATTAGGATTTTAGTGGTTATAACTAATAGTAAAATCTTGTTTTTATTTTACTTATTTTTTTTTGTTCATTATCTTATAAAATGTTGTTTTAATATCTAATATCTCAGCTGAAAAGTTTGTAAGAGTATACTCCACGAGCAAAGATGATAGAAGACTTACAATGCAAAGCCTTAACATGATAGCGACTCTCATTTATATTGAACAACAAGGAGAATACTTTATCTTGTATCATTTGAATACATTAGTTTGTAACCTAAATAGATTATAAAATTTCAATTCAGTGTTATGTATTTCATGTGTGTTTAGTTAAAGATGTGTACTTGGATTAAATTTTATTACGATATAATTAATGCAACGATATTTAAATATTAAAATAAAATTTGACAACAAAAAATAATAAATTCTATGAAAAGATTATTAGAATAATTATAATTATTATAAATGATTAAATAACTTTATTATAGCATAATATTAAAGCTATAAATGTTATATTATAGCTTTAAAAAAATGCAATTATAAGCTGAAGATAACACAATATTTTAGTTATGTTAAACATATAATAGCATTAAAAAAAACGCTATAAAATGATTATATAACAATGTATAAAAGCTATAACTTCATCTTTATTATAGCATTTAGTATAGCTACAAAAAAACGCTATAAAATGTCCCAGACTTTTAATAACATGAGCTGTCACGACGTACGAAAAACGCTATAAAAAGTCTATGATAGCATTTTTCGTAAGCTATTGTATTCATTGTTTCTTGTAGTGTCTTTTCATTCGATAACCTAGGTAACTCGGTTTTAATCCTGAGCTAACCATGAACTCCTGTTTATTCGGAATTACCCTTAGATTTGCATGGGTGAGAGGCTCTAGTTTGCCGACTCAATAGGCCTCCCATTTCAAGGGTAAGACTAGGTGAATGGTTGGGAACGTGGGGTGCAAGATGGAATTCACTCCTACCCACTTTTAGGGATAGAAGAGAGGTAGTTCTCTTAAGCACTGACTCCAGGTCTTGAACAAGGGGCCCTACCCTCTCATTGGCCTTAGAGGGATTCGGTTTACTGGTTGGACCACAAACCAATTATTCATTAGAGGATCAGTGAGACATAAGGAACAAGAAGTAACTTTACGGGTAAAACGGTAAATTGACCCAGCTCTAGTTACGAACAACCTGTGAAGGATCGACTTACTAATCATGGTTATATCAAATGGACAGAAATATATCTATAGTGAGGGGAGTGCAACTACTAGGCTATAGTTCAGTGTCCTAGTAGTTAACGAATGTTGGTTAACAAGGTTAATGAGTTTAACCCGTTAATCTTGGATCGTTGGAGCCCATGATCTATAGGTCCATTAGGTCCCTCTCCTAGCTCATATCGGACTAAACCATAGAACAGTGTGACGAGTGAGTTCGAAGTGTTCGAATTCAAATCAGGGAATATGCGCTACATATATACGATATATTTAACCACATTTTTGTTTTATTTACGAATTAAACAAAAAGAGAGAATCTGAGATATTTAAATAAGATTTAAATATCTTAATCAATTATGTGTCGGAATTGATTGGGATTGAGATTTGAATTAATATTAAATATTAATTAAATAGTTTAATTAATCATTTAATGTTACTTTAATTTGAAATTCATTATTCAAATTAATTGTTGAATTAAAATGAAGAAAGTCAAAATGTTGACTTCATTTAATGGAAAAATCCATGTAGTGGAATTTTGAGGTGTCAAAATATGGTTTAACCAAACTTGCATGCTTGCTAAATAAACCTCACCAGTTTGAATGGAATTTTGAGTGTCAAAATTTGGTGATCTAAAATTTGCATGAACATGCAAACATGACTCTTTAAATAGAGTGATCATGGAACATGGAAGGTCTTCTTCTTCTTGGTGAAAAACCTTGAGAAAAACCTCTCACAAACACTCTCTTCACATATACAAAATCTCTCCCAAGTTTAGTCACTCACTAGATTCCACAATCCCCATTCTAAGGCTGGAGGATAGTGGAGAAGACACTAGTGGTGGTTTGAAACCGATTCGTGAGGAAAAAGAAGTTTGAACTACAAAAGGTTAGTATTCAAACTCATTAAGTTTTAATACTTATGAACATGCTAGTTATTTACTATAAATGATGTCTAAAAGTGCCTAAGATCCAAATTGCTTCCGCATGTGTTAACACCATCATTAGGAAGCACTGACTAATGGGTATACATATGATTTTAATTTATTATATATAGCTTCACTATATGTAACCGCCTACTATATATAATTATTTAGTATATATATCTCTATCAGATTTTTACTATAAATAGTCATCCTTCATATCCAACCTTCTAGAGCCCAAATAGTCCGGGATTGACATCCTGCTAGAACACAGAGTCATTTACATGCCCCTAGCAAAATGCATAGTAGTAACGGAGTCTAACCCAACGATCATTCAGACAAACATCCATCAACCAAGAGGGGTGAAAATGATGATGATAGCACAGTTCAGAAAGAATCTTAGTCATGATGAATCTACACTTGCTACCATTGTTGTATTTGAAAAGGGGGAGCTCAAGTGTGCCAACCTCAACAAAAACTTTTTTGCCACTACATGAATACCACGACCTAAAACAAGAAGGTCAAATATTGGGTTTTAACCCCACAAAGAGAGATAAATCACAAGATTAGTTTTATGTCGCCTACCACAAATAGATGTCTTGCGGCTAAGCCTGAGCTAGTTGAATTCTACAAATAGCAAAATGGCATGTTCACAGTCGGGTTTATTTGACCTCCAAAGGATCTTGTCACTCATCACTCAAATGCTTGGCAAAGACACCAAGCCAACACCTCTACTGAAGAAGGGAGACAAAAATAAACAACTAAAGCAACACATGTTCACGCAAAAATACCAACCAGACGGATGAAGAGAAGGGTCGACCACGATAATTTTAAAGCAAATAGAGAGTTATGATAAGTTAAGGTTAGATCAACTTTGAGTTCAAAGCAACAAGAACAAAAGACTGGTGCGAATATTCTATGGACTAGTCGAAGTTATCCACAAGATTAGGAAGACATCATATAGGATCCAATTTCTCCTATGGATACAGACTAACCCTGTTGTCCACGTCAGTAACTTGAAATGTTATTATTCCGACCAAGAAAACATCAAGTAAAAGTAGGTGGTATGACATCATGCAAAGAAGAAATTGTTTCAAGCGAAGAAAGTAGGAAAGACACCAACAGAGAAGACTTGAAGAGTTAACAAACCGAGAAGTGATTTTCAATAGCTCCTAGTAGGTTGGAAAAGACTCCTCAATACTGAGATCAGCTAGAAGCTCGTCGCGAGACCTAAAGTCAGCCTCATCATACAACGTTGAGTTTATGAAGAGCCGGTTGATAGAGATATTGACAAATTGTGTAAGGGCAGATGTTGCGGTCATGATTGGCCGAGGCATATTGCCTGTGGCTGCATGTTAGATGTCTTAGCTATTCCTGTAAACGATTTATGGTTCATGGTGGCATGCTCATTCCAAACATGTTTTACTTGCTTTCATCTTAGATAGACCTTTACTATTATTGTTGTGCCAATACGGGGTGTATGATTAGTCCTCAAAATCATATCTACACCCATCAGGACTAAAATGTCCCAAAATGTACTATAGGAGAATGTGACCAGTTGTTGTTTCTTCACTTTTAGCTTATAACATTGGTTTATTTGAAATTGTTTTTAATGTATTTCCTCACTCACGTTTTCTAAAATATTTCTTCTAAACATGATTCGAGCATACACTGCTATTGTTCGTTTAGTCAAATTTTGCATGGTTGACTCGTTCATTGGATTAGAACAAATGTCACATAATCATTGTCTCACTACTGTAAGAGTGCGATTGTGACACTTGTCTTCCGTTCAGTTGTGGGCTGCATCTTCTGACTAGTTACGTGAGTTTGGCCTGCAGCATACGTGTAGGTTGAAAAAGAAATGGTTGGATGCGGACTGCGAATAAGGGTTGGGCCACAGAAGGTTTTTTTTTTTTTTTTTACCACATATGGACTTTGAGCTAGTGAGTCTTAAATTTGGGTTCGTTTGAAAATTTTTGGTTTGTTTTATAGTTCAAACGAACCAAAATTAAGTCTACTAGTTCCTTCTTCCTTGCACGACTCACTTCTATTCTTTGTTCTGCCTCTTCTTGCTCTCTGAAACATCTTTAAAGACTATTATTGTTCACCGATTATTTGGGAGCATCTTCCTTAAAAGGATTGTGACCACAGATGACCTATGTAAAAAATTTGTACCCCATTTCCTAAAACCTTTAGCGGACAACATACCCAAAACANTGCACTGACTAGACTACGCTACACCTCGTCACCCCCCCCCGGAGCATATGGATCCACTCAATCGATGAACACTCAAACCAAACTCGCCCATCCTTTTTGGCACAAGGACGCGAGAACCAATCCGAGTAATCTATAGTGGGGAGACCCCTTAAAGCAACAAGCGAGAATGGCTAGGTTGATAGCAGGGTTAATGAAAAGGCGAGTATGAAAAGACAGATCGCGTAAATGTCCCTGTAAGCAGCTTCATTCTTTCTTGATCTATGAACCGACTGTATGAAAAAAATCAGACTTTCGGCTGAAAGTGTGACTGTTGGGTATGTATAAGCAGAACCTCTTGGTTCGGGGAAAACCGGAGATGTTGGCTAAGAAAGCTAAGCAGGAAAGTACAGGATGGACAAAATGCACATACAAATTGATTGACATGATCCCTCTTCCTCTCTCTTTGGCTAGTTGGCTAGTTGGCTAGTTGCACGATAAGCGGGAAAGCATACCAAGTAGGGAAAGAAAGGCTGCTCGATCTCCTGTAAGGCCAACCCTCAACGGTGAGCTCACCAGGCAATGATATAAGTCCGATAGAAGTTCAAGGTTTCATCTACTACGAACCAGGAAGCTCTTGGAGGAGCTAACATGAAATGAGAAATACATTCGATTACGGCAACTAATAGATAGCGAACTTTTTGGTAGAAACTGAATGATCCCTTGGCTTGGGCAAGAAAAGGAAAAGGTAGTCGTACTCCTACCTTTTCCGTCGGACGATAGGAAAGTTTGAGCTGAAAGATTGAATCACACCTGATAAGAAAGGCGGGCTTAGGAGGTTTCTCCAAACGTATAAACAAAAATAGGAAGCAACCAGTCCTAA